TATATATATATATTATATATGTGTATATATATATATATATACTTATATATATATATTATATATATACATATGTGTATACATATATACACATATGTATGTGTATATATGTATGTATGTATGTATATGTTGATAGGTATGTATGTATGTATATGTATATATATATTTATATATATATATATGTATGTATGTATGTATGTATATTCATATATATATTTATATATATGTATGTATGTATGTATATTATATATTTATATATATATAATGTATATTATATATATATTTATATATATGTGTGTGTGTATGTATATATATATTGTGTGTATGTATATATATGTGTGTGTGTGTGTTGTATATATATTTTGTTTTTATATATATTGTGTGTGTGTGTTTATATATATATATATATATATATATATATATATATACATATAACCACACACACACACACACACTATATATATACATATAAACAAACACACACACACAAACAACACACACACACACACACACACACACACACACACACACACACACACACACACACACACACACACACACACACACATACACATATACATATACATATACATATATATATATATATATATATTATATATAATATATATATATATATATATATATATATATATATATATATATATATATATATATATGTGTGTGTTGTGTGTGTGTGTGTGTTGTTTATATGTATATATATATGTGTGTGTGGTTATATGTATATATATATATATATATATATATATATATATATATATATATATATATATATATATAATATATATATATATATATGTATATATATATGTATATATGTGTGTGTGTGTGTGTGTGTGTGTTTATATGTATAAGTATGTGTGTGTGTATATGTATATGTATATCTGTTTTGGTATATGTATATATATATTTATATATGTATATATGTATTTGTATAGAAGAAAAATGTCAAGTGACAGCTGTGCAAAGACAGCCATGCAGTTGAAAAAAAAAATAGAAAGAGACAACTAGCAGTTCACCTTATTTTCATCTGTCAATTTTTGACAGATAGTGAGATTCCAACAGCAACCACAAAGGGATATATTTAAATTACAATTCATTGAAGTTTATCAACAAGTAGAACATTATATCAATCACATTCCTTTATTTTGGAATGCAAAAAGTATTGACATACCACTACACTTGTATGCACTCATTCTACAAACCACATACCTATCAGAGTTGCTGATCGAGTGAGTCTAATGCATGTATTTTAGGCCCTGTGATGGCACTTGAAGCATCCGAATCCAGTGGGTTATTTGTTCTATTTCACTAATACGGTATAAACGATTCTTGGATATATTTTAACCCCCTGGATCCAGATGATGTGGCGATCATGTCAAGGAAAAACTTGGACAGCTAATGGATGACATAAAAGAAGTGTCAAGAGTGAAGGCCAGGGTGACAGAAAAGACTCGCCACAATTGCACAAACCTCTTGGAGTGTGATTTGACTCATTTGGCGCTTAGAAGGGGGCTTTAGCATTATTCCTATCAATAAGTGAATGTGGAATGTAATGTGCGTAAGCAGTGACTGGAAGAGTGTCGGCTCCAGGGAGGAGACCATTTCCATGCTGGGCACCATATTCCTGGCCACTGACTGGCGGCGCAGGTTATTATGGAAAATTGAAAATTACTTAAAAAAATGTATGACACAAATAACCACTGAGCTATTTACTACATAGGGAGATGAAATGGAGTCTGTACAAGGAAAACATTTAATTACCATCTAAATAAAGCAAATCAAAAGATAAATATGGACATTGGAAAATGGCAATAAAGCTTACAAAATTTACACACAATTTCTCAAAGGGGAGGTGCAGAGTCTTGTCACTGCTCATTGGTGTTTGTGCGCCCGCGGCCTACGCGCCACATGCCCGGGATGCTGGCCACTTACGTAAAAATTGTAACCGGATCCAGGCGGCTAACTGATATCTAAGTGATACCATAATATAGTATGTCAGAAATTGGGAAGAGCCAGTCACCACACTCCAGTTTAGGGAAGATACATGGCAATCTTAATGTATAGACTGGATAAGTAGTACATAAGCTAATTGATGTCTAAGCTAATACATATCACTTATAGGTCTTGATGTAAGATGTACATTGTGTATACATGTACTCAAGCAAGCATGTGTACATGTATAAAAAAGAGAGAAAACTTTTATTATTAATATGATTATTTTTATTTATTTAATTATTTTCTAATCACCATGGATCTTGATACCTGTTATAGAAACCTCTGGGTATTTATAAATTGATATCTATAGGTAATGACATCTTTTTCCATGTGTATGGAATAACCACAATGATAGAGGGTGGCCAGGCTATGTTACTTATGCCCCTGCTTTACCATGAAGCATTCTGTGATGGGAATATAACAACCATAGGATAGTGTATCATATGTAACAATACATTAAGATCCCCCAAACCCCCCATTTCCCATTCCACTTAGCCATTATGCATGACATACATGCCATGTCCACTGTGAATTTAGTTTTTTAACCCCTTGAATCACTGCTTCACTGTCCACATGTGACTGAAAATATAAGCATTGTCATTTGATTTGCTTTATCCAGATGGTAATATACTGTATTCCTTGCACACTCTCTATGTATTATTTCTCAAGGTAGTCCATAACTCAGTGCAATAATAATAGCAATAAGTATCATTTTGTAATTTGTCTTTTTTATAATATTCAATTCTCTCTAATACAACCTGTATCTTCCCAGCATCCTTCCTGGAGGTGGGGCTCTTCCAGTCATAGGTCACTTATTTTGCAATAGAAATAATGTAAAAGTCTCTTCTAGTATGTATATATACGGAATACATTACACAGTAAGGAAATGGCATCCTCCCTGGAGTCGGCACTCTCCCAGTCACGGCTTATGCATATTAATTCCATATTTGTTTATTAATGGGAATAATACTAAAGCCTCATTCTAAGCGCCAAATGAGTCAAATCACACTCTAGGAGGTTTGTGCACTCTTGGTGAGTCTTTTCCGTCACCCTGGCCTTCGCTCATGACAAGTTGGCATCACCTGGGACGTGGCCATGTTGTCCTATGACAGCATGTTCACATCACCCAGCCCTTGACCTAGGTATTTCCTTTACAGAACCAGAAAGAAAGAAAAGAAGAAAAAAAAGAAGAAAAAACAAAACAAAACTAGTCAACAGTACATTTACCCTTGCACAGAGAGTTAACCTCTAGGAACCACAAGGCTCCAACTTGTCTGTTTCCCAGTTATAAAAATATATTATTTTACAACTTTTGCTAAAGCAAATTTTGCTTGTAGTAGACATTTGAATAGCACAATTTTATGAATCAGAATGTGTACATTTCTTTGGCCTATCTCAAATACAACAAATGTCTGTAGAGGGGAAAGTTTAAAATGATATTATAGTTACACCTTGCATTAGTATGAGATGGGATAGATAGGTAATGAATATGTAATTAAAACTATACAAGCGATCACAATGTGCTAAATGGTAACTTTCATTCACTTGAATATAGAGGTGGGAAAACACAAGCAGTTGGAGCAGGCAGAGGAGGGCCTATAAGGGTAGTGAAGCATGGGACCAATATCAGACATATTAATGAAATGTTTTTGATACATATAAAATAATCCTGGAGTAGATGAGCACTGCACAGCATCTAGTCATCAGTTTCGACATGTTAGTTTTTGCATGAAAATATTATTTGTTTTATATGTATTTTTGACGTAGAATAATTACCAGTAAATTTGTAGATATCTAAGCTGTGAGGCATAGAACAAGAAATAGAAATGTACTTAAAATATACACAAGAGTTTTCAAGAATTAATGCAGAAGAGTAAGAAAATGGTGAAATGATTTGGAAAAGTAGAGGGGAGTGGGTGGGTTTAGAGGAAAGAATTAAGTAAGTTCTGTACAGTTTTGCCTTAATTTTTTAAACATAGTAAGGATTGAGATATGATCGTACTTCCAGAGATAAATGAAGCAATTACTTTGAAAAGGTAGGCTGAATGGTTGTGCAACATAAGATGGTAACATCATGTACCATCATCTGGTGAATTACATATATTACTCATTTCCATATGCTGGTTCTAATTAAAAGTCAGGAAATATCATGCCTTTTTTGTCTTCTAGCAAGTAGAAATAAATACTATTATTATTTGTAGAAAACCAATTTTACTACAGATATATCATGACCTATTGAGGTTTAATTTATTTAGAACAAAAAAAGAACTTGTCTTTATTGTCTGTCCATGTGGAGGATATGTGCAGTCTAAGTCCTTCAGATATTTTAGTTAAAGGTCATATCTATAAATTATATAATGTGTTCATTATTCAAATAAAAATTCATTGTGTTCTTATTTAGCACATTATGGTCTTACTAATGAAGAAGTGTATTTCTCTCTCTCTCTCTCTCTCTCTCTCTCTCTCTCTCTCTCTCTCTCTCTCTCTCTCTCTCTCTCTCTCTCTCTCTCTCTCTCTCTCTCTCTCTCTCTCTCTCTCTCTCTCTCTCTCTCCCTCTCTCTCTCTCCCTCTCTCTCTCTCTCTCCCTCTCTCTCTCCCTCTCCCTCTCCCTCTCCTCTCCTCTCCCTCTCCTCTCCCTCCTCCCTCCCTTCCTCTCTCTCCCTCTCCCTCTCTCCCTTCCTCTCTCTCTCTCTCTCTCTCTCCCTCTCTCTCTCCTCCCTCTCTCCTCCTCCCCTCTCCTCTCTCCCTCTCCTCTCCTCTCTCTCTCTCTCTCTCTCTCATCTCTCCATCTCTCTTCTCTCTCTCTCCTCTCTCTCCTCTCTCTCTCTCCCTCTCTCCCTCTCTCCCTCTCTCCTCTCTCTCTCTCTCTCTCTCTCTCTCACCACTACTGATATTAACTTAATGTAAAGCAGTTTCCTATGATAGTGCATAATTGGTGCAAGTTAGGTATGTTTGATTGTATAATAGAATATCTTTTCTACCACCAGGTCCCTTCAACGATGTCGTCACATCCCAACTTAAGCTCTCCAATCCTTCAGATAAAAGAGTGGGCTTTAAGGTATGTGTTTCTAATTTGTCATTGAAAATGTTTGGTTTATTATCACCTGCCCATGCAATTGGGGGTCCTACAGACTTTCTTTTTCACTAACATAATGTATGTACATGTGAGAGAGAGAGAGTGAGTGAGTGTCTTTGTGTCTGTGTGTGAGAGTATGTGTGGGTGAGTGAGTGTATATGTATATTTATATATATTTTCCTCTCTACCGCATCTTGCTTCTTTTCGCCAATGTTTCCTGACTCACTCGCTTATCTTTCCCTTCATTCTCCTCATTCCCCTCCCCCGATCTCTCTCCTCTCCTCTCTCTCCTTCTCTTCTCTCAGCTCATCTCTTCTCTCCTCCTCTCTCCTCTCTCCTCTCTCTCTCTCTCTCTCCTCTCCTTCATCCTTCTCTCTTCTCTCTCTCTCTCTTCTTTCTCCCGTCCCTCCTCACTCTCACTCTCCCTCTCCCTCTCCCTCCACTCTCGCCGCTCTCTCATCTCTCCTCTCCCCTCGCCTTCTCTCCCCTCTCTCTCTCTCGCTCTTTCTCTCTCTCTGACACAAGATCCCAAATTGACACACAGTAGGAGCCACCCTCCGGCCTGCCCTCTCTCTCTCATCTCTCATCTTCAGAATCTCTCATCCCTCTCTCTCTCTCTTCGTGTCAAGCTCGCTCCTCTCCTTTCTCTCTTCTCTCTCTCTCTCTCTCTCCCTTCCTTCTCTCCTTCTGTCTCTCGTCCTCTCTCTCTCATCTCTCGTCTCATCTCCTCTCTCTCCCAGTTC